ATTGACCATAATTTAGAAGCACTTAATAATGGAACAATAAAAACGTTCACATTGTTATATTTTTAAAGATCTTCAAACTACCTGAAATTTTCTCATTCATTTATTTTGATTAAAGATTATTATTTTGATTCGGTATAGATATAATGAGGAAGTGATAGTTCATTGGCGAGCATAAGAGAAGACCCAAAAAATATCTCTGTAACTCACTGACTCATTGACAACACTATTTTATCCCATTAAAAACAGAGAATCACAAAGAACCTAATCAAAAATGGTGAATTCTAGCCGTCTATTTTCTTAACAACTATTAATTAAGGAATGAAAGATGGGAAATTCGACGCTTTAAAATAGAACTTCAGAATTTACAACAGTCCGAAAAAGCTAATAAAATAAATAAAAATTTTGGGAGATTCTAGTTACCGGATGCTTCGAAGAAATTACAAGAACAACAGCCCGATGGGACAGAAATCGTTATTGTTGGAAGAACGATATGGCCCTGAAAATAGATATAGAAATAGAAATAGAAATGGCTGCTCAATTAGGCGATAATAGGAAACTATTTCACCTTCTTCACAAAGCAACTATAAGTCGGAGAACGATCAGTGAAATGATATAAGATCTTAATTATCAACCTATTAAGGATCGCTTAACCGCCTTATGATAGAAAGAGTTAGATAGAATTCTTTCAGGCCAAGCTTAACCATAATGCGCCATCTCTTGTGCCGGATATAGCTGATCCACTCGTTGAATCATATGTTTGTAACTGCGAACCACCGGCAGAAGAGGAAATAATCTGTTATCCATAAGCTTAAAGCCAATAAAAGAGATGGAGTGTTGTCCGTCGTTCATCATAACACATCTTCATTAAATGTAATCTCTGGTATGAAGGAAGGAAATAATGCCTGTAAAAATAGATTATGGTAATCTCTGGTATGAAGGAAGGAAATAATACCTGTAAAAATAGATTATGTTAGAAAGAAGTGGGATGACGCTCGCCTGCCATGCGTTACTTATTTTAGAATAACTTGATCAGGCTGTTTTATTAGGACATTACCATTGATCACCGCACGTATTAATAAAATTTTTATTTGACACCTCAAATTATTAAACCGATTCATATATAGACAGAAAAAACAACATTTCGACAAGAATTAAATTCAGAGAGAACTATTTCAAAACAAAAAATGATTAAACAATATAAGGGACGTTAAATAACGAAGTGTATGATATTGTAATATTGCCAACTACCCGAGCCCCTTGATGGCACTAAAATGAGGGAAGAAGAACCATTCCTTGAGAAGAATATACAATATATACTACAAAAAAGGTGACAGGAAATATTGTGAGAATTATCAAGGACAGCCTAGTAGACATCTTCGAGGAAATTTTTTCTTCTCTCCTGCATAACAGACTTATGGCAATGATGGTATGCACGGTGTTCCAGAGAAGATCAATCGACTCATAAAGGCATTTTATCAGCAGAAATCGGAACAAGTTTGTGTATATGGGAAGGTGATGGACTAGTTCAAAATAAGAAATGATATCTGTTAAGGCTGTGCCTTTTACCCTACAATATATAACTATGTAATAGACTGGATGATGAATATCGTTTGTCGGCACTCAGGTGTACAGAGGTGTACAGATTAGGTGTACAGAGGTGATTAGTTTAGATCATGGTACCACAGTTCTTGAGTACGTTGATGATGCAATCCTTTTTACTGATAGTTACGACAAGATGCAATGCTAATTAATCAACAATTACAGAATCGGATTCAGAATGAAATGTAAATAAAACGAAAATCTTTTCGTTTTATATGCAAGAAATTGATAAAATACCTATTTTCATCGATTCATTGCCAGTTGGGAGAGTACCCGATTTTAAATGTCTTGGACTCACTCTAATCCCAATGACCAGGAAAAAATGGTAGCCAAAAATATTCTTCTGGTTGATGAAAGGAAAAGCCACGAAATCACCATAAAGATGAAAGTCCGCGCCAATATAGCTAAAATTCGCTCAATCTGGCTGGAAGACATGGCCAATGACAGCGGAGGATATTAAAAAATAATCTGCTTTTGATCATGTCTAAGGGTTCGCCGAGTGAATAAAGTCTCATATGATCGCTTTCATCTTCGATCAAATACCACCTACATTAATATCATCACAAACTTTGCCCCGCTAGTTAAAATATGTTCATCTGCGTCCACCAGAAGAGCTGACACGTTACTTGCTAAAACCAGTGATGACTGGCATTAAAAGGTAGGGGCCAACCAAGATTTGGACTGATAAAGTCAGGAAAGATTCCGAACATCTAGGGGACCAACGATATGAACGGTAGGCGGTGAAAAAAGGAATGGCTCTATTATTATTGGCGATGGCAACAGATCCAGCAGCTTGGAATATGTTTGCAACCAGTAATGGTTAGAAGAGAAAGAAATCTACAACAAATTTCATTGAGTTTCATATGTTGGATATCATTTAAGACCAATATTTCTATGAACTTTTAAAAATTCCTATAAAAAATTAACAGCTCACATTTCAATAAAAAATGCATAAAAGAAAAAAGAGAATTAATTAGTGGAAATAAAATCGCATAAATCAAAAAGGATTTGTGCAAACCTAAAATAGAATAAAGCTTTTATGAACTATTCGCATCAATCAAAATTGTTTTCTTCTTTTACTCAACTCCATCAAATATTTATGCAACACCATCCATCCATTAAATAGTAATTTTAATAAAATACTTAGCGGAAAATTTTCGAGTTAAGCAGCTAATTAAGCCAGAAAAGCTAGTCAACTTTCTGAAAATCTAATAAACAAATAACTTTAATACATAAATTCAATAACTTTCGCAGTTAATAATAAATAAATAATGGTATTAAAAGATGTTATTAAAGCATTAAATTTTTCGTCGTTAGTATACATTAGTTTAAAAGAAATTCTTCATTTTATTTAAATGAAAACTTATTGTAGAAAAGCATTTCGATATTAATATTTATAAATAAATAATTTTTAAAGTGCGTAATAAAATAATAAGGAAGATTTTTGTCATTTCAATCTCTTGGCAGCAGTCAAAAAATTAAATTTGAGATTTTCAAATATTTCTCTTCATTATCGAAGGATTTTACAAATAATGAACATGTTTAAGGATTTTTAAATTTATCTATTGTTCGGAAGAGTTTTAAAAAATAGTAAAAAGTCAAAACAGAATTTAAGCGAATTTACGGAGAAAGCTGAGCCTAAAAACACGAGCAAATCGTTTGATATATTTTTAACATAAAATTAATCATTTATAAATTATTTTCTTTTAAAAATTTACGAGCTGAGCGAAATGTTAAAAGTGATAAATAAAATCATAAAAATAAAATCATAAATTTATAGAATCAAATCAACAGCGATCGTACATATTACTTTTTTCTCGAGATAATCGCATTTCTCAAATTCCAATTTATTTATTTCCTTTCTCCTTTCCGGTGAGAAATATTTGCGGCGAAATCTTAAAAATACCGTTTCAATTATGAATCAAAACGAAGTTAACTTTTATATCGTCGAATTTCGGCAACAACTGACCAATATTCTAAATTTAGGCAAACTGAGTTGTGCGAGTCAAAGCAATAGAGAAAGCCATTTCCCCCTCTTCACTTCGTTTTTTGCACTTTCTTTCTATTCACATAGCTTTTTTCATGCTTCCCGTCGCCGTGTTAAAATAGTCACGTCATCATCAATAATATCAGTAATAATTCAAAACTTATGGAACAGACGAATGAAAAGCAAATCGTAGCGCCACTCGAACTCACAAAAATTTATTCATTTATCTACGTAATTTAGGTATGAATAGTGGAAACGATCGATAACCGGGGAGGTCGATTTTCATGCGGCTTGGCCTTTAATTTCAGCCTTCTTTTGTCAAATAAGAGAGTGTTCACCTCGAATAAAATAAAATAAATCTCCATCTCGAAAAAAATTCATCCCTCGTCGGTCGCAATCGGAGCTACAAAGCGTTTTGGACGAGAGAAGGGATAAGACAAATGGTCGGAATGGATTCCGCGTGCAGACAGCCAAGTCCGCTCATTTCCGCCCTCTGACGTGTCGGCTAAGTCAAAACTCGGATCGAAGCCTGTCTGTCCTCCCTTATGAGTAACTTCCTGGTCGAATGCTCTCATTCCACCAAACAAAAATAGTGAATTGAGAATGAGAAATGATCATTCATCGTTAATCAATTTGATACAAACATTCGACGTAATGGAAAGAAATAATATGCATCAGCAATAGAAAACAATTCAGAAATCAGTCCGCAAAGCACTAAATCGCAGCCCTTCTAGAATTTGGTTGTGTTTTTTGCAGTTCTAACATTAATTCTAATAGTTCTTCCTCAACTTTCAATCAAGCTGCGGTTTAGTGTTGACGAGGTACTATTACGAAAATTTCACAGCCACGGCCCCATTAAAAAACTCAAACTCATCCTTCTATTAATTTATTGAAAACGTAAGGAATTTCAATTTTTGAAGTCGAAAGTTAATGGAAATTTTTATTCAGTTTCGTTTTTAAAATCTCAGAATTATTTAATATTAATAAAATTTTAAAAAATATTAGTAATAATGACAATTCCAGTCAAAAAATGAATGTATTACGAATAAAAAATTAAATTAATATTTCTATTTCAATAAATAAATATTTAATTATTTCTTTCTTAAAGAAATGTTTATAAAATCAGTGTTAAATTAATATTAATCTTTATTAAATTGAATTAAAGCCAATTAAATTTAACTTCAAATTAAATTTTTCTTAATTTGCGTATTGAGTTTTTTCCATATTTAATGGTCTGATATTTAATATTTTCATAATTATTATTATCAATAATTATTTTCCTGTTTTCTTATGAAAATAAAAGCAAATGAAAATAAAAGAAGAAAGGAACGAAAAGGAAGGAAGATTGCAAATTTATTCATTTTCTTTGTTATAAAATATTAGTAAAATATATTAAATCTTCATTTTAGCTACTATGAGTGGCGTTTATAAGGATGACGAAAGTACTGGAATGGTACTTTTGGCTGGTAATTCACATCCCGATCTCGCACGTTTAGTATCCGAGTTTGCTATTTTCTTTTCTAATTTTTTTGATATTTTATTAATCAATAATCTTTAAATTTGTTTTATTTAATGCTTTCACTTATCGATTTTTTTAAATTTCCTTTTTATTTAATGAATGCTTTTCATTTTTATTTTTCCCTTTTTTTTTCTAAAATTTTCAGTCGATTAAACGTTAAACTCGGTGAAGTAAGCATTTATAATAAAACGAATCGTGAGACATCTGTAGAAATAAGACAAAGTGTTCGTGGAAAGCATGTTTTCATCATTCAGTCCGGTTCCAAGTAATTTTTCGTTTTTTCTTTTTTGCAGCTTTTGCATTTTTAAGAAAAAAAGTCGGAAATTTTAAGAAAAATAATTAAATTATCAATTTTATTTGGAATGAAAAGTATTTAAACCAAAAAGTTTTAAAGATTAATTCGTCGAATGACTTTGTTCGCTGTCGGAAATTTACGTCTGATAGAATAGATTTCGAGCCCATTCTTCGTAATGTTCGCTTTACGCACTTAGCACTTGGGCTAAGGCTTAAAATAAATAAAAGCAAGAGAATAATTGAAAAATTATAATCATTATAAAGTGATAATTGGAAAACGCTTGATCTTTATTATATGTGAGCGGCTCGACTTCTTGTTGCATAATTCTTTTCGTACTTATATTTATACTAAACTTAAAATTAGACGATAGTCCATAACAACAGTCACTCATTAAAGTGCGGTAAAAATGCGGATTATTGTAAAGCCTTGATGAGAAAATGATGCGGAAATGGCGGTTTGGGAAATAAGAGGACCCCTTTGTGATGCACCCAATAAATCAGTAACGAAAAATTATAGGGAAAAGAATAGATGAAGAAGAAAGAAAGTGAAGAGAAAAAAGAGACGCTCTTTTACAAGCGCAGTGGCCCTTGAAATAGAAGTACCATTAAAATATTTAACTTGTATTGCTACTACCAGCTGTATTTATTTAGCTTTAATTTCAGGGATGTGAATAATAACATAATGGAATTGATGATTCTGGCATATGCATGTAAAACATCGATGGCAAAAACTATTACAGTTATTATGCCTTATCTGCCTTACAGCAAACAATGCAGAATGTTTAGAAGATCAGCTGTACCAATGAAATTAATCGCTGATATGTTATGTAAATCAGGTGCTGCCCTAAATTTCTGCGACGACTTAGCATTTTGCTTCGTTTTTGATTTATAGCCATATAGCTGAAATCATTTCTTTTATAGGAGCAATGCGTATGGTTTCGTTGGATTTATACAAAAAAGAAATTCAAGGCTTTTTCTCAATACCTGTGGACAATCTTCGTGCTTCACCATTTTTATTGCAATATATCAAGGAAAATGTAAATTATATTTTAATAACTGTTTCATCCCAATTTCTTTGTACTTAGTTTCATTGATGCCATTAATGCCATTCGATGCCATTTACGAAAGAAATAATTTTAGATTCCTGATTATAAAAATGCTGTAATTGTCGCAAAAAGTCCAGGCGTAATGAATAAAGCGACTTCTTATGCCGATCGCCTCAGATTAGGCACGTTTTAATTATCATTAAATGCGAATAAAAATTGCAATTGGCATTTTCAAAATCATATAAATCAAGAATGTTGTTAGACTTACTTTACTGAGCAAAATTCAAGCTGGTTTTATAGTGTGAAAGCGAATTTTAGGCATAGCAGTTATTCATGGTGAGCAGAAAGATGTCGAGGAAAGTGGCTTAGAGGATGGTCGTCAAAGTCCTCCTCCACAGCATGATTCACCCGATCTTGCAGCTTTTGAAATATTTCCATGTACATATTTCTTTCTGAAATATGCCAATAATATTCTATATTCTATCTATAGTATCTATAATATTTTTATTAAATGCATGATTTCAGTAGCTGTAAGCAAAAATTTTATAAGGGCTATGTATTTGTGTTTATATATTTAGAACATCATTTAAAATTTAATATTTAACTTGAAATACTTTATTTTGACAAAATAATAACTTAGCATAGCTCAGTTGTACTTGCGTTATAGAGCTCTGTAATTTTATTCTCTGTATTATTTTAGCCTCCGATTGTGTTCTTAATTTTCATTTTCAAATCCAATATGGCAACAAATATTATTTCAGTGCAGGTACCAAAAGAAAAGCCTCCATTGACTGTTGTTGGCGATGTTGGAGGCCGCATAGCAATCATGGTGGTTAGTAAATTGTTTCTCTTTTTTTTTTCTTGGATTTTTTACTTTATTTTGGTTATTAATGGTTCATTTCTGCTTATATTCGCTCCACTGGTTTAGCCCAGTCAGATTTTGTCAAGACGATAGAAATGCAGGCAACTAACCAGTATTCTGATATTTTTAAAAGACAGAATTGTTTAACAGAATTTGCAAGAATAGAATGGTCCGAAGAGTATGATATATGATATATGATATAAGTATGTAAGTATGAAAGCTTTTAATTATGGAGAAATGTATAATTAGCTTAACTTGACTTATCATGATGTTCTTTTGCTTTCGGACATGAAAGTATCTTTTAAAATGAACAAGGAAGAACTGATAACATTTGAAATTTTATTAGATTTTGCATAAATTTCTTGCATAACATGTATATATGTTCAGCTAATTTCTTTTTTTTTTTTAAGAGTCCTCACCGTTACTGGTTAAACTCGCTCCATTGGTTTATCACATTGGGCAATATGCCTGGGAATTCCTTCCCGATAGAAATGCATGTGAGTCGCCTGTGTCACTCGGATTTTTGTACAGTTTCACTCCTGCGAGGAATCGAATAAATTGAGCAACACCCACTCAAGTCCCAATGCTTAACTAATTAAAACATTAAATAAGGAAGAAACAACAGATGCATGACTATTTATGATGGAACGGTATTACCCATAATTCTTCGGTTTAGAAATTTATATTTAGGACGATATAATTGATGATGCACAGTCATTTGTTGCTGCTGCACATGTGCTAAAAAATCGTGGTGCTTACAAGATTTATGTTATCGCAACTCATGGTCTGTTGTCTGCTGACGCTCCTGGATTACTAGAATCGTCTCCTATCACTGAAGTGCATATTTTAATACTAATTTATTCATTAACTTTACTAATTTCCACTAACTTTTATGAAGACTCATTCATTTTTTTAGTAAAGAGTTTTCATTCCTTTGTTAGGTCATTTCTCCCTGAGTATATACCGCACAAAATTTCTTTTGCATATTGCTAATCTCTTAAATGGACCATTTTGAGGATGTCTTGTACCTATCTTGTGCCTATTTTTGAACCATTTGCAGATTAAGAAATAAAAATAAAAAATTTTTTGGTTATTTTCAGGTAATTGTGACGAATACTGTTCCACATGAAGTTCAAAAGATGAGATGTCACAAGATAAAGACGGTAGATATATCACTGGTAATAAGTGAAGCTATAAGGAGAATTTATCATAACGAATCAATGGGACAACTATTTAGAGACGTAACGATTGATGATTGACTTTTTTGATTTAATCTAATCTATTTGTTTTTATTTCGTAATTTGCAAATTTATTAACTTGTGCAATTTTTATTTTGCAAACTGTCATTAAGTTCCTTTATTTTATTTTCATCTCACAAAATATTGAATTTAAACGAGATTTTTGCGTTTTTTAATAATATTTATTAAATATTTATAATATAATATTTTATTAACTTTTTAAATTGTTTTGCAAGTTGCTAAAGGAGGGGTAAAAAAATTTTTTAAACTGTGAAAATATTTTAAAATTGAAATGCTTATCATGTTTAACATGCTTTATCACCCTTATAAAATAATAAATCTTAACCAATAATTTTTTACAGGAACTCAAAGGAATCACTATTTATGTTTTTTCATGTAAACAAATATTTTTCTTGTAGATAAATTTCCTGAAGGGTAACATTTATAAATCATGCTGGATTATAGAGGAATTTTATAAAGAATTTATATCGAAATTTATATTTTGTTTTAAAATATAAATTCCATTGATTATATGATTGATTATTATTTTCAAACTTTTATTTGTGGCATACAAACGACAAGCAATCCTATTCATTACATAATCCTTGTTTTTAACCACGTTTTTATGAAAAAATTTCTACTGAAAAAAGTTATAAATAGTCATTTAATGTCAGTTCAAACATTTCTATGATCATTGATTATCTGCAAAATATTTGGCACATGCAATAGGTTTCGGATTCTGTCAGAAGAGATTTTTAAGAGAGATTTTAAAAAATTCGCAATTTTACAGTAAATACATATAAGCTTGATGGAACTTCCAAGTAGCAAATATAACATTCAACGTCCATCCATCAAACATTTTTCATTATGTCATTTTCAATTCTATAATTTTGACCTTATATTTCTTTTAAGGCATCGATGGCATTTTATTTGAGCCATTTTTATAAATCATCGTTTCGAAAGGGTTTTCATTGGTGTACTAAATGCCAAACAATATTTCATATAAGCTCGTCTTTCAATAAGGTACTGATAACAATTGTAAATTATCGTTATAAACCAAACCTAAGAAAAACCGTTTCTTTAAAAGCTGTAAAGCTGTTTTATAAATCTCGATAAGGAAATATTAATTCTTCGTTAAAATGTATCGTTTAAATTTTGTTTCCGAGAGCATTTTTCAAAATTAAATAAAGGAAATGGACAATAATTTTTGATAGCCAAACCCTTTTACTGTTTCTCATTTTTTTCATGAACCTGAATAATTAAATAATTTCAAACCTCAAGTATAAGAGTAAGCATATAAACAGCGAATACGACGTAAATTTTGACTGACGTTTCTAGATCAAGAGCTACAGTGTTTTTGTCGGGAGGTTCGTTGAATGCTGCTGCATGGAGCAATTTGTAGAATAATGTTGATTTGGTTAAGAATGCTATTGTACCATTCATGATGCAAACAAGAAGTAATAGTATGACCAACAACTGTAAAGTAAAGCTTTATTTTTCCATTCTTTAAAAAATAACTAACTCGCTCCACTAATTTCATGATTATTTATAATATCTACTCTTCCCAAATCCTTACTTTTGCCCCAAAAGCAAAAACCTAAAAAATCGGTTTTATGGCTCGCTTTTATTTTATTCCATATTTATATTCCTTAGAGTCATTTTTCATAATTTTTTTATGTAATTTTTACCTGCATAATAAGATGAGGAATGAGCAGTATGGCGTAATTTCTGGCAACACCAACACCAAGTAAAAAAATTACTAATAAACTTAATGCTACACCGATCACCGATGCCAAAAACGCACCATTCACATAATTATCTTCGATCCCTTTAAATTTGTTATAAATTTTTATTTAAAATAACCAAATGCTAAAATATCTAAGAGGCAAAAAAACATGGAGTTTTTATTGCCAATAATTGTATGAAAACATCATTAGTCAACATAATTAGATCAGAAATAGCTATATTATTATCAGAAGAAAATTTAAAAAATCAGGTAAATCTCTAAATCCTTGGCAAATTAACGTTTTATATACATATGCAAAAGTTATATTTATTGCTTGAAGGAAGGAATAAATACATATAACTGAAATAAGGGAATTTTGCTCCAAATTATTCTCAAGAAAGGTGAGATACATTACAACAAACATCGAGAGACTTTTCTGAGAAAATTTTTGCTTTCATTCTGCTGAGTAGACTACTCGCGGTACTCCTACTCCTCGGTGAAAGGAAGACCTTAATCAAGCAGGATATAAGACAGGGAGTGACTGCATTAACCAAATTTAATTTTATGCTGAGTGCTATGTGCTTTGCCAATATTTGTGATTCGATTGATCGAGTGGTCCTCTGATAATTCATGAAATATGATGGTGTTCTAGAGAAGTTAATCAGGCTTATCAAAATATTTTATCGGCGCACGTCAGCATAGATTCGTGTGTGTGGAGAACTGACATAACCTTTCGAAATATATACTGATGTTCGCTAAGATTACTCTCGTCAACAATTATCAACTATGCGAAGACTGAATAATGGAACGCTTACTGGCAGTTAAGAGGTGTAATCTAGAACATAATATCACAAATCCTTTTCCCTCGTAGTTACGAGGAACTGCAATAGACATTAGATCGGTGTCAACAGCAGTAACAGCAAAAATTAACTCTCAAATCAATAAAATTAAGATGAAACTACCATCGTTTTAAATATCCAATACGAACAGAGGCCGATATGATGACAATAATTTCTCCAAATTCATCGTTGATTTAAGAAGCATAATTAATGTCTCGGATATGTATAGTACCTAATGGCCAAGTGAAAGATGATTCTAGTTCAGATAGGTGCAGCCAAAGGTGCCTTTGGAATCACCGCAAAGTCTGGAAAGTTAAATCCTGTGATGGGTGGTGGCAAAAACGTGGAGGAACAATTAAAACCTGGACTTATATGGTCAAGAGGAAATATTGAACATAGAAGAAGGCTAGCGATGTAATAGCTTAGATAATAGAAAAGACATTCACCTTTAGAAAGAACATGGAATTGAAAACTTTCTATCCTAGTGAACAATCCAACGAGCTAAACAGCAATGGTGCTAATTATTAAAAGAGAAAGCGCTAACTAGTAATATAACAACATAAAATAACAAATTTATTAAATTTATTAAAAATTTATTAAATTTATTTATTTAACACAAATATTTTAAACAAATGAAAGAAACCTGCCACTTTCTGATATCTTCTATCTTGCATAATTATTATCATAAGAGAATTGACAAAAAAAAAAATTAAAATGAATATTTCAACTCCTGAAAAAATTTAACTGAAATTAAAAAATCTTTTATCAATCTTTTAAAAATCTTTTACTTTTTAATTGTATTCATAGAACTATAAAAATAAAGAAATATGAAATAATAAAATTTCAAAATTATCACGATATTTTGTCAAATTATATATTGATAAATAGAGTGGAGAATTAAATCCAGAATCGAGATTGAATTAAACTGGATTGATCGAGAAATTCAATGGGCAACAACGAAGAAAGCTTATCCGAGTATAAATGTTAACATTTCTTAAAATATTCATTAAAATTCAATGTTTCTTTCAAAAAACTAAACTAATTTTAACAATCAAATTGTTTATTAATTGTATATTCCGACTGTGTAATAGAAAGGCTCAGTGGATTGTTATTCAGAGCGCCGATGATGCTGAGATTCTGAGATTTCCCAGCATGCAAACTTTTTCAAAAATTCAGGTGATGCTAGTGACTCACCTGGCGACTGCTTCTATGGTCAGAGGACTCCCTGGCATGTCCAGTGCAACAAGCCAGCGGAGCGAGTTTAACCAGTAATAGTGAGGACTCTTTAAAAAAAGTGCTTTGATATTGAATTTCCAATTATCATTATTATCAAAATTATTTTTGACCATTTGTCATACTTAGCATTTCCTACAAATGAATGTAATTGGAAAAAATTCTTTTAGAATTGTTAGAGACTTAAAGCGAGAATTTAAAGGAAATCTTGTTAAATTCCATCAAATAATTCGCAAATTTCCTTCAAACTCAAATATTTTCATTATTTTTAAGGTTTAATCTTCGATTTACTTATTTATTATTGAGAAATACTCAAAAAAAGCCAAGAAATTAAAGATTTATTTAAGAATTCGCCTAATGACAGAATTAATTGAATGAATTGATCAATAAATATTAAATTTTTGAATTTGAAATTTGAAGCTTTCAAAAAGCTTTCAAAGAAGCTTTTTTCGAAATCAAAAATATTATTTAATATTAAATAATATTAAATAAAGTATTAAGTACTAAGCAAAATGTCAAAAAATTAAATGAAAAAGAATATAATTTTTAATAAAAAATTTATTCTTTACATTTTTGATGATAATTTTATAGTTTAAAGAAGGCTATTAAACTATTAAGAAGCTATATTTTTCACTAAAATTGCTTTTTATCTTATTTAACAATTATTTTCATTAATATTTTAACATTTAACATTTCTAGTTCCACTTGTATGATGACAATATAGAGCGCAATAATAATTATGATAATAATTGATATTAATTGATAATAATTGATATAACAATAATAATAATAAATAATAATAATAATATGTGGATGAAATCAGAGAAAATTCATCATTTAGAGGACCCTTCAAAAGTTTTTATTTCCTTTTAAATAAAAATTAATAAGAATAATAATAATTTTTATGAAGAAAAAAAATATTATAAACCTGAAATTAGTAATGCACCGGTCTTAACATGAAAAGCATTGCAAAAACATCGATAATTATCACTTGATTCATCAAACTGTACCGATTTTGGTAGTGTATCACTTATCATACCATTAGCAGCTTGATTTCTAATAAGCATCGAACGCATACGACCATTCATCATTTTGACAACTTGTTCATAAATCGGAAATGGTCTAGAATTCTGAAAAATAATTTTATCTGATAATAAACGCCAACCAATCAAGAAAAAGAATAAGGATAAAAGGAAAGGATTAAGGATGGAGATATGTCAATGTTTTTTTCAAACCCCTCAACATTATCCTCAAAAAAAAATGGAATTCCAACCGTAAAAATAAATCACTAATAGTTTAAAGTGGAACTGACCAAGGCCAAGTACGCAAATACGCAAAAAAAGCCCAAATGGAGTGCATCAATAAATGATTAATATAGTATAGTGAAATCTAAATCAGTGAAATTTTATAATCTAAAATCTAAAAATCCATAAATTTTCTTATTTTAAAGAATTAGATTATTCTATAAATTATTACAGTAGATTCAAATTTATAACATCAAGAAAACAAATCACCTAAATTTTAACACTCCAATATTACGAAGAATAATTATTAAGAATAGCTGAAAAATGTTGTTAATTCGTTTATCCAACATAAACTATTCAAATAATATAAAAATTGCTGTTGTTTGTTCTGTTTCAAAAAATATTATTCATTATTAAAAGGTACTATCAATCGGACGAAAGGATTCAAGGCCCTTTATTTTAAAACACATCTATAGTATCATTATCAAAGATTACTAATTATCCAAGTTTTTCCATGTTTTCCATTTTTGAAAGTATCTGAAAATTCCCATTCATTATTCAAACTAATAACTAACTTTAAGCATTTCCCATCTATTTTTAAAGTGGTTTTTTTTTTAGCTTAATTGACTTAATCGGAATTGGCCGGAAAAAAAGGGACTTCGTATTTTAAAAAAACCAGCAATTTTACCAATCTTTGATGTATTAGCAACTAGAAAAGCAACAAATTTTTTGCATGTCATGCTTTTATCATAATTATAGAAATTTTTTATGTAATTAGTTGGTATAAGTCTTAATTGATATTTCAATGAGAAGACTTTTTTCCCAACATTGTGCGTTTTAATAAACGATGAAATGATAAAAAAGGCAAAAGACATTTAAAATTTATATCAGTGATGCAAAAGCGGATAAAAAAAAGGATTCCTAGAGGACCTCCGGTATTCATATAACGCTGCGTTTTTTTTGGTTATTTCATTAACCTAAACCATTTATTTTAAAGAAGTAAATATTCTCACTTTATTTCTTTAAGACTCATCGGAGTATTTAAATATAATGTAGTGAGCAATCGATCATCAATTTCTGGCTAAATTAGCTTCGCACAGTAGAAATTTAAATGAATTGACAGTAGCACTCGAATTTTTTAATGATTATATTACTCATGATTATATTATATTACTCATGTTGGAGGGTCCGAACCTTCGTATAGCCTGATAATTAGATTATTCTATCGCTGTTTAACTCTAATATAAGGAATTGTGAAGTAATGAATTTAACAAATTTCAGTAAATCACATAACAATCACATAAAGTGCAAAATAAAGAATAAAATGCAAAACAGAAAATAAAGAAACACAGCGAAAAAGGCGACGAGTGAAGTTTTGTTGAAAGATGCATTAGTATTTGGGATTTTTGCGTTACTACATGACAGCTGAAAAACCAAAATATTAATATTCGATGAGAACGAAAAAGAATTTATTCATGCATAAATCGACACTATACCAGATGCTTTGCCTATTTCTTCTCTTTAATACAAAAAATCAAAAAGAGGAGAAAGTATTCACCTAATATAGAAAGAATAAAAGCTTTCTGGATCGAAAAATTATATAATCAGAATGGGAGTCGAATTTTTTTTTTATTCTTGTTTTCCAATTTTTTAATGAGATTTCTTTGGCGTTTATTTTTAATTCAAACTTCCAAAATTTCTCGATGGGAAGTTATCCATGAAAATGGAAGAGATAGGTTGAATTAAACCATCTTCGAAACAATAATTTTAAGAAAAATGACCTAATCTCACTTCGTTTAAATTAATAATTATTGGTAATGTGAAAAATTTTTTCCCGAAGAAATATTTTTATAATTTAAATGATTTAGAATTGTCCGCGTCAATTATTTTGGCTAATTATTATTATTATTTAATGATAAAAATTTTCCAGGAAAATCTATCATTTAATATAACTATGAATGAAGTAAATTTCAAAAAGAAATTGTTTTAAAAACATTCCATGAAAGAAAATTCTAATATTTAAAATTCAACTGGTTTTTGTTTGTGCCAAATAAAAAGAAAAGGTGTTAATTAAATAATTAAATTTATTTAAAAATTAGTCCATTTATTTATTGGCTAAACTATGAAAGCAAGAAAATATTTGCCCAACAAAAAAGCTTTTAATTTGGTTGAATTTTATGAGAAAAAAATTTTAGTTTTACGAAAATAATTCACATAGTAAAAAGTGCTTGATCTGTTTTTAACAACCAGAATCATTTTTATAAATAATATGGCATATCTTAAATGCGACAAATATCCCATTCCTTTAAAAAAAAGTGGAGATTCCTATTGAAGTAATGTATCAGAAATCATATAAAGAAGCAAGAAATGTTGAAAAAAGAGTGAAATGGTCATTTTAGGAAAAATCAAATGTATAGGCAGCGTCTTATCACTATCGTCGTATAATCCAATGTAACGAATGATTTGAGGATAAAGGAATAAGTTGAATCCACTGAAGGAAGCCAAAGAATAAAGAAGAAATATGCAAATTTCCCGAAAGCCGGAATAACACAGTTTATCATAAATAGAATGGCACCCTTAAGCCTGACAAAGTCTCATTTAAAAAAAAAGAACATAGAAAATGACTTGTACTATCAAAAAAATAATTATTGAAATCCAATGAAGAAAATGAAAATGATAGGAGGAGAAAGGAAGAAACCATTATTGATATTTAGACCGTAGCAGTATTGTCCCAAATTTTTTTTAGGAGAGACAGTTGAGAATCTATAGAAATCATTCTTATATCATCCAAATCCTGTTTCTTCACCAGTTATAAGAACTGAAGTAGATTAGTATAATTTGGATTTCTTATAAATTAGAAAAGTTAAACACTATTAGGTCCATCAGGTCTGATTTATATTTATAAAATAACACAAAGTATTTTATCACGATTTCTATTTAGATTATCGTCACTGGCTATTAGTAAATGGAGAAATCACCGGCAGAAAATCACTTGTATATAGAAGTACAGGTGCATCATCAGCACCACCTCGATTTGTTAATGGTAGGTTTGTTTCGATCGTGAGTAGGAATTCAGGAAGCTTTGCCTGATTAACTGTTCGGCAGTACATTCTCAAGCATATTACTTAATATAGATACTACTTAAACCTATATTATAAAAATGCATTCGGCACCAATTTTTTTTATTTTTATTCACACCATTAATTATTGAAATAAATTAATGAATGATGTTTTTAAGCATTTTAGGATTTTAATAGTTTTAAGAAAAAGTAATATTTAAGAAAAAGTAATATTTTCAAAATTTTTTATTCATTATTTTCTGAGTAGCGCTACCTATTACTATATTTTTTCCATTATATTAATACCATCTTGACTAATTTATAAGCATGTATTTTTATCGTTTTGCTTGGTGAACAAATATGAATATAAAATAAAATAAACTCGAATAAATCATTTTTCATCACCATGCACAATATAATAAGCACAAGTAGCAGAGTGATTACTTATCAAAAATCATCAACCACTTATACCAAATATAATAGCCCTTAACAAATAGATTTTATATAGTTTTAAAAAATGCTAAAAAACGGATTCAACAATTCAACTTTTTTCACAAATTTTCAAATTATCCAACCAAATGAACCAATAATATTTTCGAAAACCTAATTATAAATTTTGATGCATTGTTAAGAAAAGCAAACGATCGTTGAATTTATCGGCTTTTCTCAAAATTTTTTTGGTATTTCTTTAAGTCACAAATATTAATTATTAATTAATTCTTTTCAATTCTTTTTAAAAAACCTGAAAATTTAATTCAATATAGCAAAATTTCTTAAATTTTTTGAATTTAATATTCATTTAAATCTTAAAATCTTAAATCTTTTCAATCAATTATTCTTTCCTATTTTTAATAAAATTTTAATTTAAATGCCAGTAAATTCTGCAAAATTTATTTTTTATTTTATTTTAAATTTATTTTATAAACGAAAAAAATGAAACTGAACAATTATATTTAAAAAAAAATAAAGAATCGAATTGATTGATTGATATTTAACTTACAGAAAACCTTGTAATTTTAAAATTTCTTAGGTTTTAGTATAATAATGTTTACGAATACGTAGTAAAGTATAAACAGGAATAAAAATACAAATATATATGGTGATAAAACCGAAATATTTGTTATACGCTATTAATAGTGAAAAAAGAGAATGGAATTATAGCATTCGTATTCAGCCATTGTGCAAACAATTTAAATATTGAATATTTACTTAATACTTTGTGATAGGGAATGCTCACCAATGGATCTACAAGAATTTGCCTTCTTATCCATCTAAATCTGTTGAGATGCTGAGATTTTGAGAATTTTTTAATAATTAATTTTATTCCTGTTAAAGCGAAGAGCCCAAGTCATGACATAATATTTGATGTGATAGTTGTATTCTTCAGTTAATTTCGCACTCTTATTTTGTTTTATTTAAATTGTAATGAGTAATAATTATTTTATGCTCTCTTGTGATAAAAATAAACCTATTATTTATTTATTTATTGAAAACCAGCCAAGCAGGGCGCAAATGCCATGTGCTTGTATTAATAACAACAGTTAAAATAAATAATAAGAATTAATGACAAAAACAAAAAATAATAAAATAGAATTAACAATTTAAAGATGAAAAAAGAGCAAAATACAAAATATAATATAGTATAATTCGAAATAACTATAATCGGATGGTAAAAATCGAAATTTCCTGCAAGATGTGAACTTTTCATAAATCATAAATGATATTATCTATTCTTTTTTTAAAGATAGCTATGGATGACGCACAAGCTATGTCGTTCGGTAATTTATTCCAGAAATCAATATTACGAATAAAGAAATCATGAGTTCTTAGTTTAGTTTCACACATAGGTTTTAGCAATTTTAGCCCATTAATTCTTGTTGGATTTAAATTTAACTTAAAATTATAATATTTTGAACAATCTAATATAACATACATAATCATGAAAAATCTTATGAGTATAAATTAAATCTTGTTTAATACGATGAACTGACAGAATCCAGGTTATATTGTAGAAGTTTCCTTTTATAATTAAAATTGTAATTAGGAGAGAGGCGCTGTATAAATATTTTTAGAGTTCTTCAACTATTTTACTTGATTTACGATATCTCGTGCAGTAATCATGTAGCATTGTAGTCAAGAAGTGGCCAAACGAACGCTCATTTTGACAAAAAAATCTTCAGTTTTGTTTATTAAAGTGAAATGCGAATAATGCCAAAGACTGTACTTCTATTTCACAAGCACCTGGCTGATAAAAGATTCCATCTTAAAACCCAATCGAGCTGTTCAACAGTGAGAAAGCGGGGTCTTCGAAATTTACTTATAGCTTGAAATTATTCTTTCATTTGCCATTACAATTAATTTTAACGATCCATCATTTTTTCGAAGCTAATTATAGGCAAAAATTAATGAATGTATAGAAAAAATTCAAATTAAATAGGTTATAAATAGCAATGGAAAAAGGAAAAATTCCTTAATCTCTCTAGCACGCGTAATGGCTCAATGACAACCATTTGCATATAAATTAA